AATGTTGTTAGTGTTTGCCCGACTCTCTGGGTCTGTGTGTGTCACTGTGAAGTGCAACAGCGCCCCCTGTGACTCAATGTGCCCTCTATTCAAACACACTGCGTTTGCAAGTTGAAATAAACAACTTTCATCTTCTTTTGAGAAAATGCCTGTGTCTCGGTTCAAAGGATGATTTTAAAGATTTAGATTCTATGGAAAGAAGCACATTACACCCGGGACCATGTTACACTGCTCTCCTCTCTTCTCCTCTCTTCTCCTCTCTGCGTGATTTTTGGCCTGATTATAACCTCAATTGACCCTGAAGACAAAACTGTCTCCACTGTTTTCCACAGGGCAGGGCTGTCATGACGCGGACATCCGGCACACTATCTCGTCATGTGCAACAGTGTGGAATCAGGATTTCTTGCTTCCTGATTGAACCATGGAACAATTTGAGCCTCATCATTATATTCAATTGTTTTACCACATTTTCTATTCAATCTGAATAAAGCTGACTGGGACAATTTATTTTTGGGCTGTAGGTCTGAATATGATGGTATTTTTTTAGTTAGAAGCATCTTTGTCCATCTTCATGTGATTTTGAAAGAATAAATACACCAAATCTTGTTGTGAATGTGTCAGAGCTATACACAACACGTTTATAAATAATATAAGTGATGCATAGCCCCAGGTTGTTTGTGTAAGTTGTGTAACAAATACTGAGTTATTGTTTTATTACTCACACAATGCAGCCATCTCTTTGGGAAGGTCTGCCCCAAAGCGTCCGAAGAGGTGGCTGCTGGCCAGCAGGTCGTAGGGGGAGTGGCTCCGCATGGAGTTAAAGGTGAACGGGTACATAGTGCGAGGGAAGCCGGTCATGTGACGCATTTGGTGCTCCCTGTTGGTTGCCATCGTGAAAAGTGCTTCTGGTTGTTGAGGTGACTTTGCTCTGACTCTCTTGCGTGTTTCCTCCTTCCGAGTGGTCTTCGTCAGAGGCCTGCAATGAGTTTGAAATGGGCTTCTGCCATCCAGCCCCTCTCAGCTGTTGTCAGGCTGCAGAGAGGTGAGAGGGATGCTGACCAGGGAGGAGTCACGTGACCAAAACTCAAACAGGAGCTGACTGTAGAAAGGAAGGGAAGAGAAGGAGGAGGGGTTAGATACTAGAATTAAAGTCTGGCCTATAGAGAGCACAGCAACTCACCTAAAGTCTAATCAATAACAACAATTCATTAAAAAACACCAGCAGCCAAACCTGAAATCGCTCAAAAGTACATTTCAAACCGGGAATAAAAACCAAGACAACAAAGAGCAAGAAGCGAGAGCTGAAGAGAGAGAAACACAACATGCTTTCTGTCTGTCTTCATAGTCATGCAATGATTTCAATCAGTAGAACTGAATTATAAAGGGTCTCTCTGTTCCCTTTGCCAGCCTGACTGTAGCCAGCCTGCTCGAGAACAGTCAGCCACAACATGGGTGCAATTAACCCTTTCCATCAACAGACACACATGACCTGCTCAGTCTCACTGTAGCCCGCACCATAAGCACTCTGTGTCCTCCGTGAGGAGCACAAACCTCTCAGGAGTTTCTGAGGATCTCAGCGTCTCACCTTCTCCGTCTCTCCGGAGGACTCGTGGTGTCTCTGTGACCCCGTCAGGGAGTTATATGAGGACAGCCCTGTCCTCCTGTTTCTCTGTGACTCTCTCATCACTGATTTCATGAGAGGGTGGAGCTTCACTCTCTGTGGTGGAGCTGTGGTAAAGAACGCCCGGCCAAAGAATTTCTTGTTGTTTTGGGCCTGCTTTGGCATGGGAATTAAACACCCAGGGTGGGTGAGGGAGAACGGAGAGAGTTATGAATTGTGCCCCAATTTACTGTTTAACTCAGATTGAGTGGAAACACAGAGAGTGAAACATATCAATTCCACATGATCTTATAAACCATCAATTGATATATCTGTGTTCCTCATTTATGACAGACTAACTCAGGTGGACTGATACAGGTACACGCTGTCAATTAAAGCGCATTACAGAGCGGCTACAAAGAGTCGCCCGAGCCTGATTATAAATAAACTGTTCCACATGTGAAGGTGAACTACTGGCAAGAGCAGAGACTCTTTACAGGACACACACAAAGTCAGACACACACACACACACACACACACACACACACACACACACACACACACACACACACACACACACACACACACACCAGGGGCGGCTGCTGAAGCACCCCCCAGGATTGCCAAAGCACCCCCTAAGCACCCCCAAGAAATGTTTCTTTTTTTTAAAATTGTTTTAATTAAATTAAATTAGAAAGATTATTGATTACATCAATGCAAATGTGAAACAAACAAATGTTTGACCAAAAACATAAAGCCAACACAGGTGATAAGGCCAATGGCCAGCACCCATTAGATTTTTGACCTACCCATAGGCTAAATTACTTTGTGACACTTGAGTGACTTCCTGTTAGCTGGAGCGCCAAATTATTTGCTAACAGCAAAGTGACAAATGGATCGTTTTTTAGTCCTTAAACGTCCACGTATGGACACTCAATCAATACCACCTGAAAGCGAGAGGGATTCTGCACATAATAGGCCTCGTGAGTACAAGTAGCTTACTTCTGGCTCTCTGTGTTTCATTCAAGCTCTGCTCTGTGTGTGTGTGGCACGAGCCATTTTGTGTGCGTGCGCGAGCACCGGTGGGTCT